CCTTGAATAGCTCTCTATCTCCTCCCGCCCCCAACATCAAATGGGAACCTCTGCAGCCCCATGACCACCCCCCTCCCCTGCATTACAGATGATCCTTTGCATGTCTGTGTCCCCCATGATACAGGAGCTTCCAGAGGCAGAGCCAGCAGCGAACACTTCTATAATCCTGCTCTCATATTTAGGTTGAAACCCAAACAGGTGTCCCACCACTCTGAAACGTTTAGTGGAAGTGATACCAAACCCTCAAATTCCATTTTAGATCACTTTATACTGAAGGTTCTCAGTGTAACTTATCAATCCGTACCTTTGGTAAACATATGCCTTTTTTGAAGGTACTACAGAACCATCTAATTTTCTTTGTTCCTAATTAATGTGACAGAGCTGGACCAAATGCAACCGGATTCAATTAAGTGCTTCTTAGTAAGAAGCTGAAATTAGTATAAATTCAGAAGATGCTCTTTTAGGGCCCAGGAGAGAGTCAAGACTGGGATGGGCATCCAGTGTGGGGTCAAGGAGTACCGGGAATCATTTTTCAGAATCCACAGCCATTTCCAGAGTCTAAAGTGATCCCTGTTGGAGACAACTGAAAAAACATGCTAAACAAACAGCACCCCCAAATCCTTAAATGGGCCAAATCATCTCCACTGAGCTCAGGGGTGAAATACTGAAAAGTGACCCAGTTTCCCAAGTAGTGCTCCAGTCTGCTCTGGCAGGCTAGAGAATGGAAGCCCGTGGTCCATACGCCTTGGCTCTCTGGTTTACCTAAATCCCAGGACCTAGCACAGAGCCTGGAAAGCAGGGACCCAAGAAGAAATGATCTGAAGTCAGGTCTGTCCCCAGGGGGATGGCAGAAGCCCTGAGCCACAAGTCTGTTTACTAAAGAACCTGGAGGAGCCATACAATTCATTTGTTTGCTTTTTATATCTCCTTCCCATGCCGGGGAGTATAACCCATGTGTGTGCGGAGCCAAACACACACCCACACATCCTCACAGAATGCACGTGCTGCTGAGCAAGCAGGCAGTGTGACATTCCAACACTTAAGACCTACTGCCAGAGAGTTATTTTTAAAACGTTTTTTCTTACTCCAGATCTCACTTACCAATTGTGTGATCCTGGATATGTCTCTAAACCTCTTTGGGCCTCAGTTTCCTCATTTGTCTAAAGAAGATAACAGTACCTCTTTACAGGGCTATTTTAAGAATTAGAGCTGATGTGTGTAAAACACTTAGCCCCAGGGATATTTCAATGATGAAGTGATATCAAGCATGTAAAAGGGTTGTGATGGTATTGGACACAGAGTGAATATTCAATATAAGGTATTACCATTATTGTTATTTCAAGCTGATGCCAACACATTAAGCAGCTCCTTTTCTGGCAGAATCCTTCACAGGCCCTTTGAATGCTAACTTCAGCTCAATTGGCAGCCAGTTGTGTGGCTTTGGACAAGTTACATCATCTCTCTGAAGTGTGGGGTGGGAAACTTTTCCCACTATAGAAGTTATTATCCAAAGAACAATTCCTCTGGGGTCACCATCCACACTACCCATTGGGGGCTTAATTATGCATCATGTTTTTTCTCTGCTTTGATGCTATAAATGCCTAGATTGTATGCTCCTAGAAAACAGAGGTCTGGCCTTGCCCTCTTATGCCATCAATATTCACACAGTTATATGACTTCCCTCTTAATAAAGGGGAAATGGATATTTGTTGACAAGGAACCATTGTTTGTGGATACCTCCTAGTACATGTTGAATATCCCTGATGCTTGGGACAAGAAGATTTTGGATTTTTTTTTTATTTTGGAATATTTGCATTATACTTGTTCAACATCCTTAATCTGAAAATCCAAAATCTGAAATGTACAAATGAGCATTTCCTTTGTCATATAGGTTTCTAATTTTGGATCATTTTGGATTTTGGATTTTCCAATTAGGGATGCTCATCCCGTAGTAGCCTTATAATGGGCCATTCACTGCCAATTGGAAAACAGTTATTTGTATTTAAATTTAAGTTCAGAGTTTGCAAACTGCCTGTCCAAAGATCAACTATTAAGTTCTTTTTAGCCCACCTGCATAATTCTTAAAATTTTTTGAATTAGTTTCCAACATTTAAAAATTAGGAGATTGGCATTAAAAAAAATCTAGATTTCTATTTCTATTGAACAATTGGAAGATCTGGCAACACTCTGGGTTTAGATAATCGTCATAAATAACAGAATAGCTGTCCTCTTTACCACTCATTACAGTCTCCACCACTCCCTAATGGCTTTCCAGAACTATCCCTGAATCTAGCTGTTAATAATTAACCTTCACGGCTTAGGAATTAACTCTTGATTTGCCTGCATCTATTTTGTGCATTACACTTACAAAAGTAGTGTGTTTTGCATGAAGCACGCTAGAAACGTGAAAAGGAGGGACAAACTTGACAAAAGTTCACAAACATGTCTAGATGGTTCTCAGGAGATCTCTGTAATGCATGCTTCCAAAGAATACATGAGCTTTTTTCCAGATAGTCAAGTTATCTATTCCTTCATGGGAGTCAGAGCAAAGAGATAAATCTCATGTCACTTATCAAAGCAAACTGAAGCAGAAGTAAACAGTAGCCTGAAAGGCAAAAAAGCAATTTAAAAAAAATTAATAAATGATGAGACTATTAACAGCACACAAAAAGAGTTTGCTTTTTCCCCTACCCTTTAATATGATTTTTACCTTAAACACTGTGTCCCTTTAGGAAAGGGAAGAAAAGTTAATAAAGGAACCTATCACTCAAACTTAATTTTTAGTACGGCAAATAAACTGCTTTAATGAAAGGGCTGAAATCCCAAGGTTTGCACATTAAATTTTCATTTGTAGTAGAGAATGGAAATTATTGATTTAGCCATGGCATTGTGCATTTTGAATCCTATGGTGCCTCAGAAGCCTGCGTTACCGCTGAGTGCAAATGTGTTGGCAACGTTTTGACGCAGGGTGAACACAGGATGGGTGAGGGAGTGGAGAAAGGGATCTAGGTAAGGGAAGGCAGCAGACAGGCTCTTTGTAGAAAGATAATAATTAATGTTCCTTGTCTCCAAGATCCACTTAGATAAAGCAGCTGATGGCATGATAGGCCAGGGGGTGCATCTGAGACCAGAAAAGCCAGGTTCACTCAGTATTTGGGGAAACACCAATGGCCCTATGGAATACTTAAAAAAAAAAAAAAAGAAAGAAAAAGCAGGACCGAAGGCTGATTATTTGATCCTAAGCCCCTGGAGAAGAGTTTGGGTTTCAAGAAAACTGTAGAGGAAAGAAAAGTACCTCTCTCAGTTCAAGGTCAATGTATCCGTCAAGGGAAGAGTAAATGTTTGACATTCTAATGCTGAACTGGATAGCACAGAAAATCAATCAAACCCACAAATACAGTTCTCAATCTAGTGAGGGCTCATCAAAGAGTCAGGTGACATGAGTATCCCTTCTTTACTTAAAGCATAAATATAGGTATGTTTTTCTTTTGAAAGAAATTAATCCTCCTGCCTCCCAGAGGACTAGCCCATAATTAAACAACTCTTGATTATTTCTCCCTTAGAGAACTCATAGGAATTGATTCTAAGCCTAGACTGAGGCAGCCTGAATCAGGCTTGTTTTGGGGGCTTTTGTATCAGACCGTATGAGATCAGGGAAAGCTATCATCTTCAGAAATAAGCTAAACTCAATTGCAAAAGTAAAGCTGCTTTAAAAAGAAAGAAAGATAATCACATAATATATTCTAAAAAGAGAAAGGTTTTGCTTTGTTTTGTATTTGTTTTGATTACCTCCCAGCTAAGATTATCTTTTACCAGTAGTCTCCTCTGTCAGTCTGGATGTTGGAAAAGTAGCTTTGTTGGACTAAAAAGTTCTTTCTGGTTTTGTGTTTTCAGATGCTGAGAGCTGGTGCCATCTATAGATTTCCATTCTGGGAGAGGTTTCTCTTTTGTCCTACTTTGCGTCAGACCTGCTGTCGTGAGGATAAGAGCGCCCAGGAGACACTTCCCTGTGGTTTAATAGGCTATGAAGGATGGGACTCATTAACCGGCTGGCAGCTGCCCCTAAACAGGATGCTGCCCGGAGGTGGGGGATGAAGGGGATGGGAGGCCGAGGAGGAGGCAGGCTCCATTCACGAGACCCGCTACCAGCTGCCCTAGGGGAGCCCCACAGCAAACAGCATCACCTCCTGAAGGATCCCACAGGTGAAGTCTGAACAGAGAGCATGACAATCCAGCCACAGAAACCTAAACCTCCTTCTGGAGGAGTGGGCTTTGGGTCACTGGTTTTCTTTTGTGACTTAAAACAACCCCTCCTGAGATATCACCTACCCACTTGATTATTTTCAGATTGTTGAAATGTTACTTTTTCTGTCTTTCCCATATTATGTTCTCATTGATTTTATTATAGTACTCGTCCCTATTACATTAGTGTGTTTATTTATAACAGATTTTTCCTTTTCGAGTCTCTGTTAGGAGGGTCCTGTCCACCCTTAGGTAAAGCCAAGCTGCTCAGCCTGAAACACCAGGTCTACTAATTTGGCCCTGCCCACTTCCCAGCCTCGTCTTTTCACCGGCCCATCCAAACTTAGGTCACACTATTTACATGCGGTTGGCCATTCACAATGTCTTACATTTTCACAGCTTTGCATGTGCTGTTTCCTCTGCCTGGAACAGCTTCTTTGCCTCAGCTTCTTCCCTTGGCTCCATTCCGGCCATCTTTGCAGACTCAGGCCCACAGGCCCTCTTGGTGGGGTCTTACATTCCAAATACCTCATCTGTCCTCTGGATTGGAGGTCCAACAACTCACAGTCCCTTCCCTCTATTCAAACCTCACCTCACTCTCCTATAATAGCCTGTGTCCCTCACTTAGAGAGGGGACAGTAAATGTTCTTTGAATAAATAAAAAGCACCACTTCAGCTCCCGCATAGCCTGGATTTATTAGATCAATGGAATGAAACTTAACCAGTGCTGAATTAGGAGCTGGCATGTCACTTCTTACCTTTATGGTTTTGGTCTGGAGTCTGAGTCCATTTAAAGTGTTGATGGCTTTCTCTGCATCCTTTGGATCAATATAGTTAACAAATCCATACCCTAAACTCTGTCCTGTGGAAACATTAAAAGAGAGAGAGAGAGAGAGAAAGAGAGAGAGAGAGAGAAAGAGAGCACACTCAGTATCTTTATAGAGGCAACACTTCCCACTGCAGTGAGTCAAAACTCTCCTCTGGTATATGGTTCCTCTTATACCAGGGTTTACCCCCCGACTGAGAGGTTTCCAATTCCTCCAGCTCTCACTCCTGTCGGCCTTTAAACTCACAGGAGCCGCCCAATCTAAAAATGGGTAAGTGTCCCCACACATCCACACAAGATATACAAGTGCCACATAATCAGGAAGAGGTAGGACAGGGGAGTGGGAGGACAGCAGGTGTGGTTTGTTAGAAGAGACTTGAACTAGAGTCCTAGGACTTTCCCTATGAGCTATATGACTTCGAAGAGAAGTCATTTAATCTCCCATTTCCCTCCCAAATCTCTTCTCTGGAGATAACAGCACTTACCTCAGATAGGTTTGAGAGAGTTAGTGAGATAATTATACATAAAATGCCTACCAAGTATATTGCTTAGAATGCAGTAGGTGCTCAACAAAAGACACTGAATGTTCTGCTTAGTCCTGTAAAATTGGGGCAAGCGCTGGATGCAGTAGCTGTGTCTACTGCCTCGGTTATGCCAGCCACACCCACACTCAGAGGGATGTAGCAGGATCTAAGCAGCAAAGACTGAAGACGTGTATAGTGAAGAATGCGGGCATGGCCAGAATTTAAAGCAGTTGCTACAAATCATTCTTTGTCCCCATCATCCCTTGAGTCAAAGAACAATTAAAAA